ATTGCTGCAGGATTGCCGGCAACTTTTTAAATGGCACTAAAAAAGGGCAAGCTTTTATTTAAGTAAACATACTCATTCATAACAAATGTTAGAACCTGGAAACCTAGGTGTTCATTTGCTGTCTTGATAGAGTACTATTCCTGTTTATTCTTAAATAAATTTATTAAAAGTTTTTTTTAAGGTTATACGCTACTCTAAGACATCAACTGTTGACTTTTTGATTTTTGTTGCAGTGATACTCCTGAGGTAGACTTTCATTTATTTTTCAGAACTTCACCAGTAAATCCCTGTGGATGGGGCAAAATCCCTGATCATTCTTCATTTTGCACTTCGACCTGATATACTTCCGTTTTCTAAATATACAACACTCGCATTTTCCACAGTACGGAGTACTTAGAGAAAACAATGCAGTGGAGAAAAATGCTAGGCCTACATTTTAAACAACAAATGAAAGTTAGTATTGATCAATCCTAACCTAATTGATAATCCTAACCTTCGTATATTAAATCCAATCCATTGGATTTCTATAGCACATTTTACAACAGGCATTTATTTTTATTTCTATAGCACATTTTACAACAGGCATTGTCACAAAGCAACGCTTTACAGAAAAATCTGGGTCCGAACCCCCATGAGTGAGCCAATGCTGACAGTGACAAGGAAAAATGAATTACGTACCTTACGTGCCTCACCAGCAAACAAACTAACCCAGAGAGCAGACAGTTATGGGCCGATTCTGGCTTTCCTATGTGAGTGTTGGTTGACTACCGGGTAGATGTCAGGCATGCGGGCCAGATCCTGGACAGCTTCATACTGTTTTGCCTCATGTCTACATTTGTGGAACAATTCTGGGGTGAATATTGTGGACCAACAATGTAACTGGGCCAGACTGGGACCAAATTTGGGCCATACCCTTTAGTTCTACTCACTTTACAGTGCGTGGGCCAGATCTGGGCTGAGGACCCAGCCGTATACTGGGCCAGAACAAACCAAGGATGTGGCCCACAAGTGAGCCAGACAAATTTTGCTAACTGGGAAGGAGCAGAAGGAGCCTGCGAAGATAATTAACTCTGAACAGCACTCAGCTGTTCATTATTAGAGCGAGAAGAAGGCGAAAAAGGTGAGATTGGCCACTTTTCCACCGCTTACAGGCTTTAACTTTTGATCTGAGCGTTCACATTAAGGTCGCATGACCACAAATCGGATACATGTCCGATCTAGGACCACATATAAGGATATGTTCACATTACCAGGTCGAAGTGGCACAAATCCGTTTTTTGCCCTAATGTGACTGAGACCTGATGTTTTCAGGGCTGTGTCACCTGACCTGAGCCACTTTCATATGTGGTCCTAGATCGGATGCGCATCCAATTCGTGGCCTGCAAACGGTAAAAAAAGCAACACATCTTACCTTTTTCATCATCGTCTCACTTTAATAATGCTGATAGCTGTTCAGAGTTAGAATTATCTTAGAAGCAAGTCTTGTTAGTTTGTTTGCTGATGATGCACATGACGCACGTCATTCATTAACGTGGCGTTACTGAGTAGGATGTACGCATGCTTGTCATTTCAGGACGTGGATTTGAATCACTTAAGCTACATTCACGTTCAGCCTCATTGCTTAAATCCGATCTCTCTCACAAGATGGTTCACACTCCTTTAGGTAAGTGACTCAAATCTGTCATTAATCATTAATGTGAATGAACAGGGGTCAGGAAATGGCCCCCATGCGCACATCCTACTCAGTAACGTCATGTGAATGAATCAGGTGTCTGTGAATGAATCACAGTTCTAAGAAAACTCTTTAATTAGTATAGAACGTTTACACTATATGGGTTTCTGTAAGCTTTCAAAAAAATCTTTCCACACACACATCACATGTACAAAATGGTTCTTTAAGATTTATCCATTGAAATCCTTCTCCATTGTTAGAGAACTAAACGTGGTTCTTCTGTGACATCAAATGACCCTTTTTGCTACTTTTTTAAAATTAATAAATTTTGAAGCATATATCATATAGAAACTTATATGTGTCACATTGCCACTGTAACTTTTTTTTTTCATTTTTTTTAATTCTGTCTATAGTTTTGAAATGCATATGTACTCATTGTTCAGCCTTCTACACCCTTGGTTCTTCAAGGGTTCTTAAGTAAAGATAAGCTACATAGAACCATGAACACTCAAAGAACCATTCGTATGCTAAAATGTTTCTTTGCATGGTAAAATTGTCCTGCAGGTTGATGGAGAATGTGTTGTATATGGTTCTATATTGAACCTTTTCGGAAATGGTTTTATATAGCACCAGGAAGGGTTCTTCTATCGTTACAAGCTTGATATCTTAACAAAAGAACAACATTTTTTAGTGCTACATAGAATCTTTTTCAAAAAGGTTCTATATAGCACCATATACAACACACTCAATCAGTCTGAAGAATCATTTCACCATGCAAAGAAACATTTAAGCATGCAAGTGGTGCTTTGAGTGTTCATGGTTCTCTATAAATCCATTGTCTTTAATAAAGAACCTTGAAGGACCATCTTTTTAAGAGTGTAGTGTGGTGGCTGGTAAAGCCTCCTTACAGACATACTAAAGATGAAATTGGCCCCATTATGATGGGGTAGGTTAATTTCCCTCTTTCTGCCTTTCTTTCTCTTTCTCTCTCTAACTGTCTCTCTCTTTCTTACACACATACAATGTTAACAAACTCATTGTACACTTTGAACTGACTATAACATAATCAGATTAAAATTCTCTCACACATACAGACATGCACATGCTTTCTCTCTGAAGCTTTGAGGCAGATGCTAATTTGTGATATGATGGGCAAGGGTGGTTAATTTTATCTGGTCAACGCCTACCAAGATAACAAGCGAAAAAATTTAATCTGATGGCATGATTCACATCACCCCTTGGGTCGGCAGTCAGAAATACCAAACTTGGCAGGGATATTAAGAAGCCTTAAAGTTCCAGCTTTTCTGTAATGAACGAGAACCAAAAGTGCGCTAAAGTAAAAATTCTACTTCATATGAATGATGCATAGTAGCTCCTACTGTTTGGAGATTTATGCAGTAAACTGAAAAAAATACAACTTAAATATGATGGGTTATGTAACTTTTTTGCTAATTGAACAAAGAATTTAGAAAAATGTTGGGTTAAATGTTATTATAAGTAAGTCCAAAACAATCTGCATCCCCGATGCTTAAGCTTAAATGTTAAAAGTTTTGCAATTTAGTTTACAGTTGACTTACACTTTTGAGTTCATTATAGTTAACTCAACCTAAAAAATCAGCCATGTTATTTATTTTTTAAGTTAAAACAACAAATCTTTCTTCATCTGATAAAGTGTTTACACCATCTAAAGACTTTGCGCTCAAACCCCGGCCATACCACATCTGTTTGCAATTGGAAGTCCAAGAGTATAGACAACTTCTGCAACTTTTAAACTTAAAAACTAAGTAAGCTAGTTAGCTTAAAATTGAGTTCATTTAACTTGAAATAAGAAGTTAACAAATGTAAAGGACAAATTATTCTTTTGTTAACCTAATATTTGAAGTTACATGAATTCAGAATTTAAATTGAACTGTAGGTTACTTACTTTTTAAATTTAAAAAGTAGCATACCAAAAATGTGCCTTATAACTTTAAGTTGACCTGATTTTTCATTTTATACACTTACATAATTACATACCTCACAATCTCATGATTTATACTGAAAGTGAAGATTGTTTAATAAAAGCAATAATAATAATAATAATAAAATTAATTTATCAAACAGATAGCTTAATTTCCAGGTTGATTTATCTAACAAAAATTTCTGTTTTGTGAAATAGCCACCCTCATGCTACATAAGGGATTCCCAATCCCAGTTAATGCTGTGTATGTTCTTGTGTTTTCCCCATTGTATCATTTCAGGTTCAGTCCATCAGCTAATTCTAAAGACCTCAATGAGATTTTTACAGCAGAGAAATCACACAAAAAGACAGTGGTCTGCACAGTACCAGTGCTAGAATTGCATCAGAGAGCCACTGTGATACAGACAACCTTCTCCAACAATGTTTTGCTTTACCAGCTAAAATCACATTACATATGTTATGTTTTAATTCTCATTCTACTTTGCTTTGTCACAAAAAACAGCAAGTAAAACAAAGTAATGTGTTGCTACAAAGACCAATGTCCTGGAACCAACTATGGTGGCTGGACAACTGAGGATGATGTCATCATGGATCAAGGGGGACTTAACCTGACTGGGTAAGCAAATACTGTACAATCTCTTAAATCAATTTGTTCTACTGACAACAAAAGTACCATACAAGAGGTATTTAACATGCTTTAAAATAATATTTCGAGTTAAAATAATTGCCTATGATGACAAGTGAGGAAACACTGGAAACCAATAGTCCTTTTCTGTTACAAAGTACATCGATCGATTGAAAGATTAAAAGTGGGTGGGCTACTAGTCAATTTTGCAAATTTGCAAAAACCTATAGAAACCATTGTTTCTGTTGGTTCCTAATGGGTTTTTAATGTATTGGGCCTTTAGTGGGTTTATATCACAATGTAAAGGATCCTAATGGCTTAAAATGTGATCAGTGGCTGATTCTAAATGCATTTGATGGTTTCCTAATCTAAAGTTATTCTACAGGAAACTAGTGGTCTCTATTGTAAACCATTAGGTCAAGTCCCATTAGAATGCAGAACCATTAGGTTTTAATCCTAATTGTTTCTAATGTTCCTTTTTCAGCAGGGTTTTTACATAGTTTAATAGAACCTACGACTGTGTAGCCTATGCACGTTAGAAAATATTGTATGCGGTCACATTTTAAATTGAGGGGGTGTAGGAGACAGTCATAATGGGAATGTTCTTCTAGTAGCCATGCCCGGGTTCTAGCCTAGGTAGTGATTTGTGTAGTATTTTCAGTGCTGCACATGCGTTGGCCCCCATCTGGCTGCAACATAAGCTCACAGCAGTCTGTCAAATCCTAATCGGAACGCCTCACCAAGCACGAAGGGGAAGTCTTTATACTACGTTTGTGTACTTTGTTGCGACTTCCAGGATAGCCTCCCACCGTTGTGCACATTTACCTCGTTTTCTCTCCGCTCGTAACAGCCATCTGTCGTACTTAAGCTAAAATTTTCTCGATGACAGTTCGACTAACAAATCACCATTTTTTCAATCCTCGTTTTTTCAAGAACTACCGCAGTCGAAGGAACTATTTTCTCTTGTTTAAAACAGTTTCACTCTGGTAATGCAAATTCTCATGGGACCATTTTTTTGCAGAGAAAAGTACAGGGCGAGTGTATTTGAAACAGGCATACTTTGATTTCTTGTAAGCCAGCGATGACGAAGTTTTAATCCAAGTACAAAAACGACGTGCGTTGCTGCAAATGATTAAGGGGAACTTCACTGTGTCATGAACCTCACAGACAGGCACGGATACGTTCTGCGTAGCAGCATACTGAGTGGCTGAACTGTAAAACTAACTGTTTTGTTCATTGTCTTCGTTGGGTTATCGAGGAAGTATCGCAGTCGAGCAGTCCGTGGGTCTGGCTGCATTCGGCTCGTCGTTCAGCCCTGCGCGCTCTGCCTGAGAGGAATTATGCTACAAAACTGAGGAAAGTCCAAAAACAGAATGACTTGCTGCGACTTCTGCAAACCTTCCATTTCTTGGTGCACACTATCTTAATGTTTCACATTTTTGACTTACAAATATGATGAAATGGCAGCCCCGGAAGAAGGTAAGAAATGTCATATAGATTTTTTTTCTTCCTTTCAGACGTTTTCAGAATTTAGCAAGGTGACCTAGATCCTTATGGTAGCATAAACAGCTATGTATCTCTGCCTTGGATTCTCCGTGTACCGCAGCCTTTGGTCAAAATGAAGCCTAGAAGTTAATGGTTTGAGAGCTTCAGATTATATGTTTTGTGGTAGATTCGTGTTGGCAAGTTCGGAGAGGGTCCTTTTACATTAATCTGGCCCGTTTTTTGAAAATACTAACATGAAATCATTTAAGCTACTGTGGCTAATTTATATCAGATTTGTGTTGACGCTTCATATTGTGATGTGCATTATTAAAAGCTGAATGATAGAGATAAGCATGGTCCAAGATCAGCAGAGATTTCCTTGTATTTATCCTGCTGCAATCTATGAACTCAATAGCGGACCAATAACACTGTTCTAATCGGAGTCGTGGCTTTTTTCTTACTGAACTATGGGAATTATGATGTAAACGCTATTTGTAATCGTCTTCTTCGTTATACACAGTTCACCCAAAACGCGTTCATCAAGGCGTTGCAGAGGCAGTTCAGCGAAGCATATCTGGCTACAATTAGGGTGTCCAGTTTATCCGTTCTGCAGATGTCCTGAAATGATAAATCAGCGGTAGATGCATGCGTGTGAAATTGTGGGGACGCATGACACATTTTACGCTCTGCTTTTCCAAGGCTGCCGCTCTGGTGACAACGCTACGCTGCAGGTTAGCCAGGCGTGCCGCAGGAATTAATGACACGTACTATAACATAAAGTGGGGGCGGGTAGACACGCGGATAAGAATTGTGACATTGGCAGGACCACATGTGAAGCCAGGTCTTTTTTTGAGGCAGAAGATTGGCGTTAGGCGAGTAGAAAAATACGATATTAAACCTACAGATATTCCACGTAATAATCCACGTAACTAGGAGCCACGACGCAATCTCTGTTCCTGTGTCGATTCCAACTTGAGGCCAGTGTTTTTAGGTGGGGAGTGCCTCATGCAACGCACTCAATAACGTTTAGCCTGGATCATGTGGGTAGAGTAGGAAAATGTACCCCTCCAAACATTAAAACTACAACTCCTCCCCTAATAAACTGTGGAGAGTCGAAATATATAGAAAGGTGAATGCTATTAAATATTTGTGAGAATATACATTATAATCCTTATTGGTAAACAAATTGGCTAAATATTTTTTATCACCCCTACCACATTTCTTTCTTGGTCTCTCCCTCATATTACGTCACTCGGCGGTTGCATTCAAGGTAGGAGCTGGCTCTAAGTTAACCTGTGAAGTAACTTAGGCTGTGTGTAGAAACCCTGAGTCTTTGTTTTTTTTTTCTCCAGTAATCCTTCTTCTTTTCTCTGTGACCTGAAAACCAGTTTAATGGTATTATCTTACCGGCTGTGCGAATATCGAAGGAGACGAGAGAAGTCGCTTTAAACACATGCCAAAGCAGCTTCGAACTGAGGATACATGAACATATGCTACCCAGGAGGGCTTTTACAGATTTGAAAGTGGCATCACTGCATGCACGACCTCAGAGGATGTACAAACACGGAGCAATTCAGCTACCATGCTGAAAAAAAAAACAGAACATACACAAAAAAACAGCATAGATCAGGATGCATTCCATGCTTTTCTAAGCTGGTTTATGCTGGTCACTTGGCATGGTCATTCTTTGTTTTACTTGTGTTTATATATTTTCTGTATGGTGCATTTTGTACTTGGTGTAAAATAAAGATAGAGAGTAGAAAACCACACAAATGTGAATTGGTTGGATCTATGTAGTAGCTGTGGTTGTATGCAGCAATGTTAGGGTTGTGCTTTCAAACAAGCTTTCTGATTAGCTCAGTTCATCAAAATTTAAGATCAAATTGCAATGAAATGCTGTTAGTTTAACTCTCTTATGTCCTATAAACATTTATATAGCCCAGATAAATTAGTTTATCAGTGTTAAATGTTCACTAAGAACATATAAATAAAAATATGCAGTCACAGTCTAGGCCAGTGGTCTGCAGCTCTTGTCCTGGCTCTGTCTTGCATATTTGAGTGTTTTCTTTCTACCTGCCAACTCAGTAATGGCTTGTTAAGTAGATGTTTAGTTAGATCAGGTGTATCAGAGCCAGGGAAAACACCAAACCACCTTGTCCTAAAAAAAAGAAAGCTTAGTCATCAGAGTGTTTGCACCAAGAGGTGCGTTCCAAGTCTGTGCTTGAGATTTTTCTTTTTGCTAGTGGATATATAGTTGGCATAGAACTCTATGAAAAAAATCAAGAGTGTTACTAACAAACATTTTTGTAAAAACTTCTGCAGTGTTGCCAGACCCTGGAATTAAGTTGCTGTGTAACACAAAAGAGGAGAAACACCCCCAAACACTCACACAGTGCATAATCCAAAAACATTGTCAATGCCACTGTTCAATAATAATGAGATCAGTCAAAAATATTTCATCACTGTAGGTTTGTAATTTTCTTTTAGTTCAAATGCATATGATTTGCAAAACATTTTTGGTTATCTGTTATTGTGTAATCAAACATCTTTAAGGGGTAGCATAACTTCAGACTGACTCACCAAAGAAGTTTAAAAGCCTTTATTCTTGCAGTGTAGGCCTATAGAAATTCCTCTATAGAAAGGAGTTTATATAGGCCTACACTGATAGTGTCACATGCTTTATGTAACCTTTGTCATATACTACGAAGTCCCTGTCCATTTCTGTGATCAGTCCTCAGTTGTTTTAGGGCAAAGTAAGGAGTAGATTATGGTTAAGCGTTAAGCCATCTGAAGACAATATTTACTCTTGGCCCAATATTTACTCTTGGCCTGAGACATCTGTATTATGTCTTGTCTCTCTCAGAACATGTTATACTGTAAAAACTAGCATTGACAAATGAAAAAATTTGTCAAAATGAATTTTTTCTTGTCTTTGAACAGGGTATGAGAAAGATTTTGTAACAGTTGACATGACATTGAAGATTAACAGGGCTGATCCTGGGATACATTCAGCACATTTAGGAAGCAGATAGTGGGTTTATGTTTGTGTGCCTCCACAGAAGCAGTTAGGAACAGAAGCTCTGTCAAATAAAAGTTAGCTTTATGACTGAGGTGCATCCATAAAATGCCTGTACAACTCATATTTTGGATAGCGGTTATAATAGTGCCATAATTTCTGTGAGCTTACAGATGTGTACAGTTAACCTTGAAAAAAGTTAACATACTGAGCATGATCTTGTAGTACATAACCAAAGTGCAGGTGCTGCCAACATGTCTCAGTGATGTTATCTTCTTAAACGGTTCCATACAACCTCATTTATCTCAGTCTACAAAGCACATTTCTCATCCTGTGGGTCAGAGCCAGGTTTATGGTAAACGGCTTAAGTGGAAATTGAACGTTCCTGTTTCGTTTTTTTTTTTCTTCCCCTTTTGTATTCCTGCCAGATGCTGGAGTAAATATCTCCCTCTTGACTCCTAGGCAGATGTTTGGAAGCTGCAGTTGTCTGGTGAAGAGAGTGGGTGATTTGTGAATCTCAAGCTTTCTTATCAAACCCAGGTGTTATGTCCTCATGCCTAACCTTCTTCTGCAAGTCTTGACCTCAGGGAGAAGCCTTAGCTCAGTGCATACTTTCTTTTGATTTGCCATTTATTTATGAAGTACTCATGTACTAGTAAGTGGCTAGCAGGCCCGCAGGCAGCTTGTCGATCCAGAAGATTTCCGCTAGCCAGCAACTGTTCTCCCATTATGGGTGTGAGAGACTGGGGGAGGACATTAGGGGAAACATTCTAATGGCATGCAGTGTAATAAGTCTGGTCTTTTGAAGCTGCCACTAGGAGAAGTTCAAGCCCTTAGGGAATGTAGTTACTAAAACCAGTTAGACGTATGGTACTTTCTATGACCTTTGTTTGCTAAGCTTGTTATAGTTAGTCATGCAAGTATGTGAAGAAATATATGAAAGCCTTTTTCTCTGAGTTGAATAAGTTTTGTTAGATAGGTAAATTATAATCCAAAGTGGTTGGATATATGACAGAATAAGATTGAGTTAGCAAAACATAAACAGTGCCTTCAGGGGATTTTGTTTCAAATCCAAAATACAGAGAAATATCCTCTATTTAAATAGATTACACATATCACAGATGTCTTGTAAGCACAGACTGATACATGAATAGCAAGTATGACTTAATATGTTAGGTATAAGGAGGCAGCACATAACTGAAAGATAATGTAGTTTACTAGATGTGAACACAGCTGTATATGAAATGTAAAAACATTTAGATAAGACATGTAGGACTGCTTATTACTGTCACTGATATTAGTATGTGAGTAATCTACTGGCTATTTTGATGATTAAATGATCAGTTTTCTTTAACAGAAAAGGCTAGACAATAATGCTGAAAAATAACATGCCATGCATATTATACTTTGTTGGAAATGGACAAACAAAGAAGCCTTTAGAAAGACATAATTAAAAAAATAAAACGATGTGACTAAAATCCATGTAAATGGGTCTGTCAATCTCTGTTTCTTACTGTAAAAGAGACCAGTAGGAAAATTGAAAATATGCATCATCATGATGCAAATTTACCCCTAATTAGTGCCTATTCATTGAGAAGGTAAATTTCAATCAGTGTGTAAATAATCAGTTTATTCAGTTTATCTTGATAGCCCTAGACATGTATGCACAGACTCACTCAAACAAGCAGCCAGTATATGGGAGGCAAATCTGGCCAAAAAAGAAATTTAAATTAAAACAATAAAATGTCATTTAATATTTCATGGTCATATCTAAAATGGGAAAAGCTGATAGAGAAAAGAAAATCCATGCTTCACTTTGGTTTTGCCTTTTCTTCATGAAATGCATAATATATGTCAAAACTAAAATCAAAATGCAATGTTTACATTGTTAGGCTGCAATAATAGGCTGCATACCTGGCAAAATGAAAATGCAAAATGGATAAATCAACAGCAAAGTGACAGTTTGCGATTCAGTTTT